GTTAAGTTTCAAGGTGTGATTTCTGCATTCCTAGCAGCTTCATATAGTTGTGCTAGTGAATGCAATCTAGGGTGCAGGGTATTTACCAAATGTAAAATATCTGCTTGTAATCCTTTCTGTATAATTTCCATTAATTTTAGTTCCTTCAAGGTACTTTCAAAAGCTGGGTTTAATGGTCTGGGAGGAGAGAGATTTTTGATTAGTTGTTTAGCTCAATTGACAAACTGTACTATACTTTCTCCATTCATTTGCTTGAGGTTATTTAATCTTTCCTGATATTCTCTGGGATCAGGGTCAAACTCATTATGAAGAGCTTCCCAAATTCTTCCAATAGTAGGATTTCCATCCAGAGCCAATACCAAATCTCTTGCAGGTCCAGTTAAATAGTCCATAAGATTTGCTTTAATTATGTCTGGTTCTATCCATCCATATGCTTGACATGCTTGATTAAATTCTTCTTTAAATTTAGAGCATTCCCTTGATCCATCATAAGCCCTGAGTATGGTCTGTTGAGGATGATCCCAAGCTGCTCGAAGTGTTTGAATAAGGGTCTTGATGTCTGGATTTGGATTATTCCTAGGAGGATCTTGTCCAGTATCATAAGCCATGGGCAAGGTAATATTGTTTCTCTTCATATCCTCTACCAATAAATGGTAATCATTGAGTAATTTCTGTTGATAGTCAGTGGCTCTTCCTTCCTGGATTGTGATTCTTGGAGTTTGTGGGCTGTTTGTACTCTCTGAACTAACATCATCTCTATCACCATTTCCTCCAGTTGCCATATCTTTAGTTTAGTAGAATAATTGAATTGAAATTGCATCCTGTTGACTGCGCCAAGTTTGTACTACTTTTGCTTGGTTGATACATAAACAAGGGAATTAAGCAATACTGGTTCTAGTCGAACCTTTAAACAACAATGTTTAAATTTTAACAATTTATTCAAACTAAAATACTTAAGCAGCTAGCAGAATGAAGTTAAGATAATACAGGAGGGTCTCAAGAGCACCTTAGGCCAATTTGCAGAACCAATGTTGATCCAGAGGGGTACTGGTCCTGAGAAGGGTTGTCTTGTCCCAAGAAGGTTGTAGGTAGAGTTGAAATGGAGGGGAAGTCAGGTGGTTGGTTCCTCTCTGAGACTGAGGATCTAGCTGTTTATATCTGTTTTCATGAGTTGGAAGTGGCCAATCATTGGTTTGCAATGGGTGGGGCAAATACCATTTATATCATTGGTAATTGCATTAAGTTGCTTGCTAATTGCATTAAGTCAATTGTTCGTCTTCTAGAGCAATAGACTTAACAATATTAAGGTGTGGTTCTCTATTGTCTTTCATAACAGGATGTTACAAGGGTCAGTCTTTCTCAGGTACTCTTTCTATGGCCTTCCATAGAATTACTCATGGTTAATAACCTTATAAAATTTAGCGATTACTGAAAAAATATAAATTACAGAGATAAATGAATTAATTGAGTATCTGCAAATATATTATCTAGTTTGTAATTGTTTGTAATTAATGCACTTTTTCAATGGTTAATAAATAAATTATAATGTTGGAAATTTCTAATCTAATTTCTTATCATAAATCCAATAAGATCACGTGACAAAAATGTAAAAATAAATAGTCAATTTCTCTCTATCTGTTAGTCTGTCTCTCTCTCTCTCTCTCTCTCTCATCTTTATCTTGAGTATTGATTATTTCTCTGGAGGGATGAAAATTTGTTGTACCTTCTACTTTGTAATAATTTCGATTATTCATGTAAATATATAAATATAATATACATAGTTAAATATAAATTCATGTTGATCAGCAATGGAGAGTTGATGGTGAAATTGTAGGTGATTTTTATGTAAATCTATTGAAATGGAGAGGAAATGGAAGAGATTATAGTGGAGGTATTTGCGATACTGGACCATTTCTTCCTGATAGTAAAAAAAATATGCGATCCTATCTTTTATGTTTGCTCTCCAAACTATATGAAAAGTAAGTAAAAAACATAGAATAAAGGTTCTAACCCTAACCCTAACCCTAACAGCAAAACATGCTCTCTTGGTCGCATGGTTACATTTGAAAAAAATAATTATTATACAATTACACACTTTCCTGGTCTTCAACCTTATCATATAGAAATTGACAGGGAATATCAGGCTTGTTTACCAGTTTTCATTTAATTATTCCTCTCTTCTATCATCCTATTAACAATTTCAGGGTGGATTAATTGTTGATATAGACGTTCGCGATCACGATATCTACAGCCAACCTGATTTCATTGATACTTTCCAATTTCATTTACGAACTAGGCCAAATGGGGAAAGGAAAAAATCTTGGCTAAGGGGAAAATATTTTCAGAATTCAAGAAGTGTCTTTAATTTAGAATTTTGGGCAAAATGCCGAACAAATTATTATGGCGAAGATTGCTCTCTTTCAAATATTTCAGCATCGACTAAGGCAAAGTCAACTAGGCCTATCCCTATTCATAAAATAACTTCAACTAGGCTTAAACCTATCTTTAACATAGCTTCAACTAGGCCTAAACCTATCAGTAAATTAGCTTCAACCATGCCAAACACTATCTTTAACCTAGCTTCAACTAGGCCTATCCATAACATAGCTTCAACTAGGCCTAACCCTATCCATAAATAGCTTCAACTAGGCCTAAACCTATCAGTAAATTAGCTTCAACTAGGCCTAACCCTATCCATAAAATAGCTTCAACTAGGCCTAAACCTATCAGTAAATTAGCTTCAACCATGCCAAACGCTGTCTTTAACCTAGCTTCAACTAGGCCAAACCCTAATCAAAATTCAACAACATTAACTAAGCTAAATCAAAAAGTAACCTACCTAACCCTAACCCTAACCCCAACCATAACCATATCCCTGGTATATTCCACTGTTGGCTTCTATATTGGTTCTAGCTTTTCTGTCCTTTGCTATCAGCCTCATTATTTATCTTTATCGAGAACGAAAAAAGTCAAGAGGAGGAGAACAAATACAAAATCAAATGTATTTCAATCAACAATGCCTCAATACCAATTCGGATAAATTTTGTAATGTAGATGGAGCCAGTAGTAAAATTTTGATTTAAATTCATCTAAACATTCAGAAAATGTTGTGTTTAATAATCTCTACACAGATTTGGAAATTGAAGATCCAAACGTCTATGAAGTTTTACCAACCTATACCAATATGGAATTTGAAATGAATAGAAATCCTCCAAACTCTAAACATTATCAAATACCTAAACTTTAAAGCAAGAACAATCAATTCTCCCAATGAAGATTATCCACTGTAACGCTTGTGAGGAGAGAATTTCTCATACACACTAGAGACATCTATCATCTATTTTTTAATGTATAGCTGGAATGAAAGATAATATATTACTTATTATTTGTTTGTAAAATCTCTTAGAAAGTGTGTCCTTGACATTGAAAATTTTAAAATAGAGAATCTTCTTCTAAATGTAACTGAATATTTTTTTTTATGTCAAGTATTGTAAATCTATAATCTTTTGTTTTCCTTGAAAGGTCAGGGGTATGATAATAGGTTATATTCAATCAATATTTGCAGTGGCGCGCCATATGTTGCTTTGCAGTATACTCTTCTCCTCCTAACTTACTTAATTACTACTTTGTAGTTAATTAAAAAAGTCTTATAAAAAGAAGAGAAATAATCAGGCAATTGACTATTTATTTTACATTTTTGTCACGTGATCTTATTGGATTTACAATAAGAAATTAGATTAGAAATTTCTTAAGAAAGAAAGAGAGGGAGAGAGAGAGAGAGAGAGGGAGAAAGAGAGGAAACTGTATATGTAAATTTCTTCTTACCTACCAGTTTATACTTAAACTTATACCATGTACTACATAGTTTTCTCCAAACACTTACAGAATTTTCAATAATATTTACAAATATTTTTTCAACAGGAAATAATTAATTATATCTTTTTAATTGTACTTAAACCTGATATTATTATGCCAATCATAAATTTTTTTACAGAAATCAATTATCTTTCACAGTTATTGTGATAGACTTTATTACATTTTCTTTATACAATTCATTACCAATAATATTATTTTTTCAGTTGGAAATATGTTTTTGATATAACGAATGTATTGCCAACAGCCAATAACTTTTTCTGACAATGATTTTGGTTCAAATTTGATCAAAATCGGCCCAGTAGTTGCTGAGATCTAGTTTTTTCTATGAACGCTATATATAAACACTGTATAACCTTATATATAACAAAAATATTCGTCAGAAAAAAACTTTTTTTCTTAATATTCAAGTTAGAGCTTTGAAATTCAGTATATATAGTAATTTGGGTATGCCGATTCCAAATCCGTTTACAGAAATCAATTATCTCTCACCATTTCCGAGCGACAGTGAATCAAAGTTTAGTATGAACCCTTTTTTTTTAAAACAAAAATTTTTTTTTTCAAGTTTAGCAATATATTAAAAAAAAATGTACCACAGAGGTGTCTGTTAAGTAGTTTAAATATTACGAACTCAATGTTATTTGGTCACTCTGTCTGCTATAGAACACAACAAAATGTAAGTAAATTTGTTAATTTACCCCATTTAATTCATTGTTTGTAATTAATTTTTGTAAGTTTGTATCTATAAAAATATATAGATTATTGTCTATTGCTTTTTAATAATTCTTAACAATTATTTCCCTTTCAATTATTGATAATTTCTATCAAGAGTGATAAGTTACTTTTGGACAGTATATCAAATATCAGCCTATATTTTATTTTCGTCACAAAAATTTTAATTCCGTTAATAATTAAGATAGAGATTTGAAATTTGGTTTATTTTTTGCCAATCTACTCAACATAGGTGGTATATAATAACATTCATCAGGTAAAAAACTAATTTATTTAGAAAGTTTGTACATAGATTAATTTCCATACGCCAAAAACAAATCTATTTACAAAATTTCATTATATATTTATTGTTTAAAAATGCTTATTTTTGTTGCTTTTTGTTCAATATGTTGAGAGTGTTTTTTCCTTTTCTCAGCTACTGAATATGACTTTTCAAAGATATCCCCATCCAGAAAAAATTAACCCAACATTTACAAGTTTTACTTATAATAGTCTCTTGATACAAATCAAGCATATTCTATTAATTGTTTTTAATTCAATGAACAATAATTTTGGAAAATCTTTTGAGACTCTTTTCAATAGTCATATTTTGAGTTATCCATTACTTGGAAATTTAAAAATTTATGAACACAAAAAGCTATATAACAGAATCAAACTTCACTTTGAGGAATTTCAAGAGAATGTCAATACTGAGATCAAGAATTATTACAAAGAACAAATTGACTTAAATCAATTTTTTTATTTAAAACCTCTTCTTAAAACTCCTGCAAGTTGTTGACAAGTGGAGAATTCCTTACCATATGTCATTTATCAAGTACTAAAGAGTAAACCCAATTGTATGGAGGGTGCTGAAATATTTAATGATGTAATTGCTGAAATCAAAGAAATGTATTTTGATCAACTTGTTGAACCAGAAGTAAATGAACAACTCAATTCAACATTGATAATTGATAATCAAAACCAGAATGAAACAAGCCATTTTGCACCCACATCAACTTCATCACCAATACCAATATCAAATTGAAATGAAAATGATAATGAAAATTGTAAAAAAATTAAAGATGCTAATGAAAGGTATTTTAATTTGGAAAACAACAATCATTTAGCAATTAGGTCCAAAAAGGAAACAAAGAAAAATTTTAAAAACATTTGCCCCACAATGGATTTTTGTACAGAAACTGTAATTATATCAGACTATTTTACTGACATTAAAGTTCCAGATTTTAAAAAATTTTTCAAAAAAATAATATTAAAAATGTTCAATTATTATTATTCAAAAAGTTATCATTCAATACTTTTCCACATTTGCTGGTTGAGTGGCCTTTAAAGGATAAAAAAATTATTGTGATTTTGAAAGAATATCCAAAGAAACTCAAATTTGAAATTGTTGACTTTTTAAAGTGAAAACCTAATATGCCAAAGGATATCTACTTTTTAAAAAAATATTTTCCAAGTAGGATAGAAAATAATTTGGGTTGGAGTGGCTTTCATTTAATTGATTTTGACCCAAACAAATATAAAAAAGAGCAGACAATGTTTCTTAAATTTATAAAATATGTTTTTTTGGAAAAGAAATTGGTTTAGAAACAATATTTTCTATTTCATTTTTATTTGTATATATGTTTTTAACTTTTATATTCAGTTTTCTCTTTTTCTTGTACTTTTTTTCTATATATATATATCTTTGTGTATTTCAACTTTTGTAGTTTTTTCTACCTTTTTCTAATAAATTTTAGTTTTCAATTTTAAACAACCGTCTTACATATTTTCTTATTTATTCTTTTATAAAGTTTATAAAACATCTTCTGACAATAATTTTGCTTCAAATTTGATCAAAATCGGCCTAGTAGTTGCTGAGATATGGATTCTTTTGAATGTTGTACTGTAACACTATTACAGGCTAATATAAAGAAGAAAATATTCGTCACAAAAAAACCTAAATTTATTATTAATAATCACAGAGCTTTCAAATTTTGTACATAGACTAATATCGATATGCTAATTTCAAATCTCTTTACAGAATTCAACTATCTCTCATAATTTTGAGTTGTGGTGCGTTAAAGTTTAATGCATTTTCCATATATAATTTATAGTATATAATATTATTTTTTAAATAGGATATATTGAATAATAGAACGAATATATTTCTAATTGGTAATATTTATTCTGACAATAATTTACTTCAAATTTGATTAAAATTGGTCCAGTAGTTGCTAAGATATGCATTCCTATGAATGTTATATATAAACTCTGTTTTTAACATTGAAATATTCATCATCAAAAACTAAACTTCTTACTAATAATCACAGAGTATTCAAATTTTGTACATAGACTAATATTGATATGCCAATTTCAAATCTTTTTACAGATTTTAATTATCTCTTATAGTTTTTGAGTTATGGTGCGTTAAAAAATAATACATTTTCTTATATAATTCATTATAATAATTAATATTTTTTAAATGACATATACTTAATTAATGTATGAAATTGTTTTAAACTTTGATTTTGGTGTGTTTTTTCTTTGACTGCTAACTTTCTACTACTAGAGTTGAAAGTACATTTAGGATTGCAAAATTCCAATTCATAGACTTCATATTCAAAGAATATAAAAAGAACAAACTTGTCTCTTGAAACTTCTGAAGCAGTTTTTGAAACAATTATATAGACTTTATCATTATTTTTCATTTCATATGTTTTTAATTCTAGATTATAGAGATTTATTTGTTTTCATTTTTATATACCTTTTTCTTTTTAAATAAAAGGGTTAGGTTAGGGTTAGGTCTTGGGGTTAGGTTAGGGTTTAGGGTTAGGTCTTGGGTTAGGATTAGCACAATCAGTACAGACTGGTAATCCCAAAAGTGCACACACACTTATAACCAAGCTTTGGCTAAGGGTTGGTGTAGTATTGAGGAGTTGCTATCTTGAGTAGCAATTCCCAGCCTAAGCTGTAACTGTATCTCCAACAAAACCACTTACAAATTCTCCACAAGGTGAAGAGAACCTGTATTTAGCAACTAAAACAATGTCACCAGATTAAAACTCACAATATTTCGGAGGTATTCCTCCTTTATCAAGTGAGAGGGGAAAAGTGGCTGGTTAGATTGCCACCAGACTGATCTCTGAGAGGCTTACTATACCTTAGGGTAGGTACTGGTTCAATCCCACACTTTTTTCACTACAAATCACCTACTTGGTGGTCAGTAAAGCAAGTCGACCACTGACGAAAGTTGAAATTTCAACTTGCTCCGATTGTTATGAAATTTTACACAGTGCTAGATCTAATTGAACTGAGCAACTGTGCAAAATTTGAAAGAAATCGGCCCAGCTGTTGCGGA